TGTTAACCGAGTTGTAAAAGTTAATAAGCTCCTCTGATGAAAGAAAATATAATACGGCATTTAAATCATTCACCTGATGACTTAAACAACACAGATAAATATAACTTAGGAGGCTGTTGACATGCGAGGAAATTATGGAGTGATTTGTCAAGTGTTTTTTTACTGTCACTGGCTATATCTCTGATGGAAAATATCAAGCCAGTAAATATTTGCCAGGTAAGGGATAATATACTTTCCCCCACCTCCCCAAATTTCTTCAATGGGCACAAATGTATGTCTTATAATTTTTATTTTTAATTTATCATTTCACCATTAATCAGATTACTTGCCGTTTGGACGTTTGGTCTCTTCTTTGTTACTCTATTCTAGGAATTTTACTGTCCACATTTTTGTCATGATTTTAAGCCTGTACATTAGTGTGTTTCGTTAGTTATTAATGTTTTACTCGCGTTGTTATGGTTCTAAGATTAAACTCTTTTCTTTATTAGATATGAACCAATTTCACTTTTTTTTTACTGTTAGCTCGAGTAGTAATAACGCTCTAGGGAAGATCTTAAACCACTGTAAATTTATAGTGTTTAATTAATAAAAATCACAGTTTCTCTCTCTCACATGTAACTGGTTGCTGGACGGACACGAGGTATCTAGCAGCAGGAGGTTATTCTAGGATATGATGACGGGGAAAGAGATGCAGACTTGGTTGAGGCCTTGGTTGTCCCGTATGATCCATGTGACATACACTGACAGCTGCAACCAACGTGGAAGATCAGCATCAACATAGAAATAGTATTAAAAGTTACCTTCTTACTTAACAGAAACGGATAGTAGTCATTATCACTATGAACAGATATGCATATAATGTGAAAGTAGATAACTGAAGGAAATATTCTTGGTGTCGAAAGGTGGTCACATTTACCTGTTATTCTGAATAATGTACAGTAATTATCTCCTTCCCATTACTTCTTTCACTCTGCGTGTTTAGTGTGTGTACTGCATTAGAATAATACAAAGGCATCCTAGCACATATTTACTTCAACCACTTATAAAGGAGGGAATAAGCAAAATCTTGTCATATTAAATTGACAACATTAAATAAAAACTTTATCTAGAGAAAGACTGTCAGAAGTCAGAAGCCATGACAGTGCAATACGTGAAACAGTCAGAGAACAGTTCCCACTTTTAACACTAAACTGCCTTTAAGTTTAATTGGGCAAATGGAATATCAATGCTTCACCAATTTATGTTACTAAATAAGAGTAGTGATGTAACTCATGGCACTCACCGCCGGGTACTCCTTCAGGACGGGCATCACAGCATGGTACAGGTAAGTACCGTTCGCCTCCAGGGGACACTCACCATCCACCAGCAGCTTGCAGCCCCCGGGGCCCGGCCACGGGAAGTGAATGCCATCGATCCTAGCGTCTAATGTTGCGTCAAACTTCTGAACCACATCAACTGTGAAGAGTAGTATTGTGTTACAGTCAGAACAGTTTCATGTCGTGATAACAAGCCCTCGTAATATAAGAGGCCAAGATGCAATGTTAGCAGTGCCGGATTAAAGGGTGTTCAGATTGTGCAGCCAAACACGGCCCTAACATTTTGGGGGCACTCAACTTTTAATATAGAAAAAATATCTTCTTTCGGATTGTTTATATTATGTCACTAGTTAGTTAGTTTTTCCGTTGTTGTATGTAGTTGACAACTTTGGGGCGAGGAGGGGGAGGGGGTTACATAAGCTAGGATACGTCGTTACTTGGTCAAGGATTTTAAATTAAAAATAAATTTCCAATATTCTAGGCCTAAGGTGTGTGTTTTTTAGGGCGTTATACTTATATTTTAAGGTAATCATAGTATCAGCCCCAGATTAAAAATTTGCTTGTGGGTATGTTAGTAAATTTAAATAGTGTGGCTACATGTTAGCGTTTTGACTTGTTGGTGGACGAATGGAATTTACACTAGGAATTAGAAAAAAAGTCTGCGTTCATTTTACTTGTTGACAACGCTGGAAAGTTTTCTTGTTGAGTGATTATAAAAGTCAGTTTAGTAAGGAAGGTCATCAAATAAAAGACGATTATTATATTGGTTAAAGTTATTCCTTCGCTACCAAGTTCTGTAGAACCGGAAAATAGTGGGAAATCTTAGTCTCCTGTAGAAACAAGTCTCACTAACTTTGAGACGAGAGACCACAGTAACAGGTGAACTCATACTGGTACAGAAATTGGCAGCGAGCGTTAACATTGTGTCATGAGCGTTAACAATTAACATTGTATCATGATCTGGTTTATTTAGAAAACATGGTATCGGGAATGTATCTAGATATCAATCAATAAGATATTAACACAGTATACCCAGCACAATCCTAGGGTCAGTAAAAAATCGGGGTGAGGACGAAGGTGTGATTTTTCACTAACCTCAGTATACTGAGCCGGTATTACTAAAGTGCTCGCGCTGAGATGCTAAATGTGAGTCTGGTTACACGAAGGTCAGTATAAACGAGGAGAGGTATGAGGAGTTGACTTACTTGGGGAGAAGGTGATGTTGACGTCCTGAATGTCTGGTCGAGTAACGTGGCAGGGAGGCAGAATGCAGTCCTCGATATCAACTCTTACTATCCGCGCCACGGAACCTGCAATATATAAATTTGGTATAACATGACCACCTCCTACTTGTTGTTTTATTTCTTTCTTTTTTTTACAAATAATGTAAGATGTTCACATTAGTCGACTGACTGAAGATAAATTTTGTACTGTGATGGAAAGAAATATTAGTCGGTATATGAAGTGCCTACATCTTTATATCATTGATACATATGTGCCCGAGTCCAATATTTTATACACCTTTATTACTGAAATGGGAATTATTAAAGGAAATTGTTTCACTCTCAAGAATCATTAAAGTCCCAGGTTGCTGATCTTACTTTCTGTCTCATTTACACACAGTTGCAGGGTCTCAATTGTTTCTCTTACTTTGACAACACAACATATATTTTCTTATTATTGATCTGTTTTAGGTTTTTCTTTCCATTTCTGTATTTTTTATGATGCAAATTGAGTCTTCTTTTGCTTTTTTCTATGCTTTTTTTTTTTGCCCTCCAGGCCTCGATGTGGGTTGGTGATCTTTACCCGGGTGGGCTAATCCCCATTAAAAAAAAATACGAGTATACAAGTTTGTTCACATTGATATGGCACAGTACTTTCAGTTTTAAGATAGGAAAGGCGTTTACAGTAGAACCAGAAGAAAAAAACAAGTAAAAATATATGAAAAAGGTGTAATAAAGTTAAAGGCAGACCATGAGATCGACCTTCACTGCAAGCGTGTTAAGTTTCTTGAACGAGGATGAGGTACCTCAACTATGACACTATGACGTACCACAGTCTTCGTAGAGGGTAGCAGCGACGTAGTCGAGGAGGACTAGCAGCAGCAGTGTCTGGCTCTTCTTCATACTTGCTAGAATTGTGTCGAGTAACGAGGCCACCTCCATGACTATCTCTTATACCACATGCCGTGTATTCATCGCCAGACTTTCGTAACCAACACATGCCGACTTTTTCCAGTTACATAAAACAGCTATCAGTGGCGGGCACGGCTGTATTGCCTAACAGGAGACTTGATGACCCATATACCTATGTTCTGATGTGCGTTGACTGTGAGTGTAACGTGCGTCCACCAGTCTCTGCACACATCCTACATTCCTGCCATTCTCATATCGTACACTCTATGTCAACAATAACAATTTCTCGCAAGCAATTGACTCACATATTAGTCTCTTCTCCAGTTAACTCGAAATTTGAAGCGAATTCCGTAGTGTGCAAGAAGACCGAAACTAACAACCAAACACCCAAGTAGTGGAATTAATAATGGTATCGATAATTAATTCGGACCAGTATATTCTTAGTTACTCTTCACTTACGGTACCTGCACATAGGTAATAACTAATTGTAGGTAAGCATTACATAAGTTTACTTTATATCAGTGAGAAATTTCAGATGTTCACAAGTTATATAGAAAGAAACTGCAACAACACGATTCCTCGACAATCCTTAGGACGAACAGGTGCATGAGGCGGGCACTTGGGAATAAGAGTAACCTTCTTCTGTTGACATTATGAGTGCCTCAGGGTCTCTGGATGAAATATTGTTCTGTATAAGGACGTGAAGCATTGGTATGTACGGACTGGAGGAATAAGGCAGGAAGGAAACATGAACTACTAACTACTAACAAAGTCTACAGAGGTCATGGATGTAAAGAATGAATTAAATAACCCAAGTTTTCGGTTGTGTGACAAGAGGAAAAGTGAAAACTATGAGAGGAACGAATAAGATAACTTCATAGTACGTTGTACACCCTCTTGTCATACCATGAACAATGTACAGTACACCCCATGTAATGCCATGAACAATGTACACCCCCATGTCATGCCATGAACAATGTACAGTACACCCCCATGTAATGCCATGAACAATGTACACTCCCATGTCATACCATGAACAATGTGCAGTACACCCTCATGTCATACCATGAACAATGTACAGTAAACCCTCATGTCATACCATGAACAATGTACAGTACACCCTCATGTCATACCATGAACAATGTACAGTACACCCCATGTCATGCCATGAACAATGTTTAGCACCCCCCCGTGTCATGCCATGAACAAAGTACAGTACACTACCCCATGTCATGCCATGAACATTGTACAGTACACCCCCATGTCATGCCATGAACAATGTACACCCCATGTCATGCCATGAACAATGTTTAGTACACCCCATGTCATGCCATGAACAATGTACAGTACACCTCCATGTCATGCCATGAACAATGTACACCCCCATGTCATGCCATGAACAATATACAGTACACCCCCATGTCATGCCATGAAAAAAGTACAGAACATCCCCATGTCATGCCATGAACACTGTACAGTACACCCCTATGTCATGCCATGAACAATGTATAACGCCAAATCATGCCATGAACAATGTACAGTACATCCCCATGTCATGCCATGAATAATGTACAGTACACCCTCATGTCATACCATTAACAATGTACAGTACACCCCATGTAATGCCATGAACAATGTACACCCCATGTCATGCCATGAACAATGTACAGTACACCCCATGTAATGCCATGAACAATGTACACCATGTCATACCATGAACAATGTGCAGTACACCCTCATGTCATACCATGAACAATGTACAGTAAACCCTCATATCATACCATGAACAATGTACAGTACACCCCATGTAGTGCCATGAACAATGTACAGTACACCCCATGTCATGCCATGAACAATGTTTAGCACCCCCCGTGTCATGCCATGAACAAAGTACAGTACACTACCCCATGTCATGCCATGAACAATGTACACCCCATGTCATGCCATGCCATGAACAATGTGTCATGCCATGAACAATGTACAGTACACCCCATGCCATGCCATGAACAATGTATACCTCCATGTCATGCCATGAACAATATACAGTACATCCCCATGTCATGCCATGAACACTGTACAGTACACCCCTATGTCATGCCATGAACAATGTACATCCCCATGTCATGCCATGGACAATGTACAGTACACCACCATGTTATGCCATGAACAATGTACAGTACATCCCCATGTCATGCCATGGACAATGTACAGTACACCACCATGTTATGCCATGAACAATGTACAGTACATCCCCATGTCATGCCATGGACAATGTACAGTACACCACCATGTTGTGCCATGAACAATGTACAGTACATCCCCATGTCATGCCATGAACAATGTACATCCCCATGTCATGCCATGAATAATGTACAGTACACCCCCATGTCATGCCATGAACAATGTACATCACCATGTCAAGCCATAAACAATGTACACCCCCATGTCATGCCATGAACAAAGTACAGTACATCCCCATGTCATGCCATGAACAATGCACATCCCCATGTCATGCCATGAACAATGTACAGTACACCACCATGTCATGCCATAAACAATGTACATCCTCATGTGATGCCATGAACAATGTATAACGCCATGTCATGCCATGAACAATGTATAACACCATGTCATGCCATAAACAATGTATAACGCCATGCCATGCCATGAACATTGTACAGTACATCCCCATGTCATGCCATGAACAATGTACATTACACCCCCATGTCATGCCATGAACAATGTACATCCCCATGTCATGCCATGAACAATGTACAGTACACCCACATGTCACTGCCGCAGACAATGTCATATAAAGTCATGTCATGCCATGAACAATGTGATACTCATATCGCTGCATGAACAATGTCAGTACACCCCCCCATGTCATGTCACAAACAATGTGCACCTGCACTAATTGTCATGCCAAGCATGAACAATGTACAGTACACCCCCATGTCACTTGACATAAACAATGCTGCAATGCACCCACATGTGTACCATGAACAATGTACAGTACACCCCCATGTCATGCCATGAACGATGTGGAGTACACCCCCATGTCATACCATGAACAACGTATAAAGTCATGTCATGCCGAACAATGTACATGCATCCTGTCATGACATAAACAATGCAGTACACCCACATGTCATACCATGAACAATGTACAGTACACCCCCATGTCATGCCATGAACGATGTGGAGTACACCCCCATGTCATACCATGAACAACGTATAAAGTCATGTCATGCCATGAACAATGTACAGTACACCCCCATGTCATGCCATGAACGATGTGGAGTACACCCCCATGTCATACCATGAACAACGTATAAAGTCATGTCATGCCATGAACAATGTACAGTACACCCCATGTCATGACATAAACAATGTACAGTACACCCCCATGTCATGCCATAAACAATGTACAGTACACCCCATGTCATGCCATAAGCAATGTACAGTACACCCCATGTCATGTCATGAACAATGTACAGTCAGCCAAAGATGCATCGACCCCATCTTGGCTCTTGTACTCACAATTTTACCTGGCAATACTTGCTCCTCATATCTGAGGGTTGGCGACTATAATACTCCACTCTAAATGTTCTCGGGCTCTTTTACCAATCCATCAAGGTTTTATATTTTATTTTCATTCATCCACTCTAATCTCTGCCTTCCCCTGGCCCTCCTTCCCTCAAATTTGTCCATTAATATTTCTGTATTATCCCTCATCCCTAATTATGTGACCAATCTCATTTTTCTTTTTCTGTACATTTCAAGTATTTCTCTTGATTTTTTTGTTAATCTTAGTACTTCTTCATTTGTTTTCCTGTCAGTATATGTTAATCTTATTATTCGCCTATAACACCACACCCTTCTCCTGGAATCTGCTGAATGTGTCCAGGCACCTGACCCATACATCAGTCCCTGCCATATAAAGTCTTTCAGCAGTCTTTTTCTCAAATTGAAGCTAATGTCCTTTTTCATTAGGACTTTTAAATTATTAAATGCTGTTTTTTCTTGCCCTATTTTTGTTTTGATTTCTTCCATACATCTACCACCACAGCTAATGATACTTCCCAAATACACAACCACAGTTTTTATTTTAGGATTTATTTCCAATTTGCAAACAACTATGACTTCAGTCTTTATAGAATTAACTCTTGAACCATATTTTTTCACGTATTTTTCCATAAAAACTCAAATTCAACTTCCCAGCTCAAAATATGACTAAGATATCGCCAGGAAAAAAAAACCCAGCAACACCTGATTGGTCCTTTCTCTTGCGCTTCTCGCGGCTTCTGGAAACTGAAGGGAGGAGGCCCCGGGGCGGTGTTCAGTACAATGGACGCTCACCAACATAAGGAGCATCGTTAAGATAAAACAAGCTGAAGTGAATTCATAGGAACATCTGCATAGAAGCTGGAGGAAGGTTCTGACAATACTAAAATTGTATTTGTGGAGTGGGAACAAAGTCGAGCAACAGATACAATATGTGAGAGCTTTTGGGGTAACTGCTCTGCCATGTCGCAAAAGATAAACAACAAGATCCTCAATCCGGTTAAAAAAAATCAGGAAATTCACTTCAGCTTCAGCTCCAACTGAGGACTCATCGATTTGATCTTTACAACACAGTATAGTGCGTGCGTTCATCGAGAAGCGATGGGAGTTGAATGAAGCGTTTTACGCAGAATGGCCATACCTTCTGAAGGTATTTGACAGTCTACCGAGGAGCAGAATAAGGGAGATGCTCTGAGATCTACATAAATTTAAGTATTGGCGGATAAACTAGCCCGAAAATTCCGAAATATGCAAATTGCTTTAATGGACATGTCGAAGTTTCGTCGGGTCACCGTATGAATGTGAAATGTGACTGGAGGAGTTGGGACAGTATTGTATCAAAACTAATTTCACGCCCCTGGCATTGTGAACACTAGAGAGGCACCTCATTCACAGGGCTTTAAAATAGTCTTGAACAAGATTATCAAGAACAATGGAGGGGTTCTACATAAACCACTGGTAGTCAGGTAAATCTGATATGTTTTATTTTATTCGTTTTGGCCGTTTTGAGGATTTTGTGAGGTAAGTGTTCGCCACCCCTAAAAAACTTTGTATTTTGAGCTGCAATTTATATCATGTTTAGATTAATTAAGGTAAAATTTGACGCAAACACGCCATAGGATAGACTTCCCACAATTGCTTTTTTTAATGTGATAATTTTGTAGTTTTATAATTTTACGGGGATCAACGGCCATAAGAAATACATACAATAATTTGGAGGTTTCGTCCAGTATTCTGCCGTCATATACTGTACATGGTTCTTGATACAGTATGAAGCTACAAACCTTTGGCAATAGTATAATTAGCTTTCAGATTTTATATTTTGTTATCATTTCATGGGTCAGAGGTCACCAAAAGACTCATAATTTCTGCTTTGTTGGCCCATTTTCGCTGTACTTCACCAACTTTACTTGAAAATTGGTATATTGAGTTTTTGTGTCAGCCACCAAATAACAGAGACAGACAGGCACATTTTGTTTTTTGTTATTTAAACCATTTTACGGGGTTCAGAGGTCACCAACATAATATATGGGACCTTCCAATGTTAGTCTCTAAATTTACTTACTGGAGAAAATTGTAACTGTTTTTTAATGAGATGTTTAAAGATACGTGACGACTGTATGAACAAAATCATTTTTGGCTTAACATATGTCAGTACAATACCATTCGCTAATTACGAAATCAAGAACCGAACTCTTTTACAACAGGCTATAAATAGAATCAGTGATAAATACTTCCATGAATGATAATAAATGCATATCAAGGCCAAATTTGATAACGATTGAATTATACATAACTTAGATAAATACTATATTACGAAATAAAACTATGGAAGACGAGTAACATTACGTCATCTGCTAAGGTTAACTAATTAATGTAAATAAGTCACATTAAGTTATTTTCACGATTATGTGTAAAATTTTATTTTGTAATGCATCTGAGTCTATATAAACCTACTTTAATCTTATCCTGAGATCCTTAATAATAGAAACGAGTGCTGGTTGTGTCAGCGAGGTGGCCGGTGTCGTGAGACAAACCTTCCGTGCGCAAAACCTTCTGGGGTAAATGCTTAGTTTTGGGTATTAAATTTAATTACTTTGTAATGTTAGGTTAGGGCAGGTTAGGTCAGGATTCCTTGAGTTTGATTGGTTCATTTTTTGTGTTCTTACCCCACAATTTCCATCGACTTCAAAGCACTGCCCACTTTGTGCTTTCATTGTCTTTGGTAGTATGTTTCATATCATCCTTATACTGTAGTCAGTTTTCCCAAGATATAATGGGAAATTCATTCAAAACCTTCCGTTACCGTATTTATTAATATTTTCAGCTCTCACAAATCAACCACAAATCAATCATACATCTTAGATGTCGATAATGAACATCAGTAATTGCTGAGCCCGGAAGGTTTATCGCACCGGTAGATTTGTCGCATGACACCGGAACCTATAGCATAACTAACACTAATTGCTAATTTTGATATTTGTAACTCAGACCCGAGTGTGAGTGCTTCTGGTGTAGTAAACATCAAATCACAAGGCTACTTCGCTGTCTCTCTTGTAGTCTACATGTGGAATAAACTCATAGGATGAGTCTTGCCAGCTTTCACTCATTTGTTAAGGGATCCTTAGCCATACTGGACTCTATGCTGTATGTGTGTGTGTGTGATCAAATTTAACATGTGTCATACAATTTTCATAGTGTATTAAACCAAATTCTCTACGTTGAAATCAACTTTGAAAATTGTATGGCTATAATTGTAGAGGTGTAGCTTCCTTCCAAACGAGTGCAATGAACATTCAATCATACAAAATTTACTTTTGTATATATACATGCTCGGATTTCAGGCACTCAGCTTCAACTTTATATTTTCGAAGTCAGTTTTCAGGCGTGTAAGGTTCACTTTCAGACGAGGACGATAGGGAAGACGAGGCAGGCGTGTACTATATTATTTTCATCCTTGAGTTTCCACGTCACAATTGCAGATATCTGGTAGGGGAGTAAAAGCAAGTTGAGGTAAGTCCCACATATCAAATACATCTTGGGGTTTTGTCTTGACTAGTAAACATTTATATATAGCGAGATTGTGATATTCTAGGATAATGATAACGAACGAGCGATACTGACTGCAGGGTAATCAGCTTCTACTGGCATGACAGCGTGGTAATGGTAAGTGTGTTCGGGATTTATAGGGCACTTGTCGTCGACCAGTAGAGGGCAGCCGTTGGGACCTGGCCAGGGGAAGTCCAGACCCCCAATGTTCGCTATGATGATAGTGTCCAACGTTTTGGCCTCGTGAACTGAAAAAGATAAAATATGTTGCTGCTTGTAGAAAAAAAGAAAGAATGCGATTTGTTAATAATCGTAGCCATGGAAATCAGTCTAGTAAACTCTGAATCTTTTTGAATATCAGCTGTTTGGTCACGTCTAAGACAAAAATGGCTCACCTGGTGTAAAGGTAATGTTTACATCCTGGGTGCTGGGGCGGTGCACTACACATGGAGGAATGTCGCAGTCAGTGAGGACAAATTCATCGATCGTGGCGTCCGAACCTGTGAAAAACAACCGAAAAAAAATTGTTTCCCTACGTCACCAGACCTTAAATACTATAAAGTTGGGAGGCAATTGACTTTGTGCCACTAACTGGGTGCAGACACAAGGTACAGGAATACAGACACGGGATACACACATGGGTTGAACAAATTTTAGACAATATCTCCTTCATCAACAAGAACGAGAAGGACTTCATGAGTTGCTCTATTTTCTTCTCTTCCTACGTTTCTTGTTACTGTTATCTTCCATTCTTCTTCTCACGGACACATCTTCTCAGCAGTAATACATACAGGGAGTCTCAGAAAAATTTATACACATACACTGCTTTACACATTTTCGTGGATCACCTGCAGATTAGCCACTTGAAGCTAATTTCACCTTAAGATTATCCTCCCTAACCTAACTTACTGTAACATAACATAGCTTAACCTAACCTAGCACCTTAGGTAATATTAAGGCTCTTAATGATCATATGAAATAAACTGGGGGGTTAGTCTTCATGTGATCCCTTGATTATTTTCCACAGACAACCTTTATATTAGAAAGAAAAAGATGACGACTAGCTATAGGCGCTGTGTTTGTGTCTTGTGTTATTCTATGTCTGTCAGATACAGTATCATACACCTCTTGTGTCTGTGTTTAAACATAGGCCTACTGGTTATAATGGAAAGGGAAACTTTTTGAGAAGTTTACACCATATGATTGAAGATTTATTCCCTATCATTCCTTATTCCTAGCACACGCTCCAATGGCCTCACCGACTAAGTCACCCGGATCATATTACCTCCATCTCCACGACTTTCAGGAGGAAAAATGCGTTCACCCTCAATCCAGGGAGCTACCTTGGGAGGTATAGGTACAGATACTTATATAAGACAACAAGAGACACGTGGATGGGCACCAAGGACGCGGGAAGGGGGATGCCGAGGGTGCTGCAGTACCCCCAAATATTTTTTTATAAGGTGCTATACATTGCACCACAGAGTATCTAGGACACTAGAACTGATATTCAACACCCCTGGTAAAATTTTGTTCCAGCGGTACTGATGGACACAGTAAGAGGACAATGCTGTGTTGAAAGGTTTGAGGAGTGCATTATGTTATTGAGATTTTTCAGAACATTCGTTATTAACCACTGTGTATCTAACTGTTGCCGCTATATTCTACCTTCAACTTTATAATCAACAAATAAAGTCTGTTGTCTATAGCATCATGGCATAAATGCTCATAGGGTGACTGGCCGAATATCGCGGAAGGAAATACAGTGGTCTCATGACCTCAGCTACAGGAACCCACAGATACCCACCACAGTCTTGGAAGTAGGTGGCTGCGGCGCAGCCAAGCAGCGTGAGCAAGAGAATTAGCTGATGTGCTGTCATCGTGTCCAGGAAATGCGCGCCTCCACCTGCTACAGGGAGCTTAGTGAAGGATGCTCGCTTCTCAGCCTTTATATATATATCTGCTGGCGATGACTTACAGGTGCCTCTCCCCCATTTTCTACCCCTCCTCCCCTTGATCAACACCACCCCTCCCCTCTGTCTACCCCTCCATAGTCCACTAAGCTGGACTATGACCCCACAAGGCGACTGCCCATTCCCCAAGAAAGGACTCCCTATTGGGCGACTCCATTTTATATTACTTTTCAGGACGACTACCGTAATGGATGACTTTGAGCCGTATCTTAGTAAAAGTCACAAAATTGTGTTTAATAAACTACACTATATTACTGTAGCCTACTTGTGCGTCCGCTGTGGAGAATTTGGAAATGGGTTACCCAGAAATAATGAATCATTGTGCTGAACTAATCTTAAACAAACTTGTAATGCCAAAATTTCAAATAGAAAAAATACATTCATAACACAGATTTTTTTAATTACTATTGCCCAGGAGTCCTCGTGCTATTTTTATACCCATGCTCGTGTGAACACCCGAATTAAATTACTTTTCCCTACAAGTTGAGAACAGGAGAGATAATTATCCAGGGAATAGTCTGAGTGTGTAGGAAGAGTAGAAATAGACTTATGTCCTCATTTGACTATGATTTACTCCGAGTGACAGTCAACTGCCTGGTATAACACTTCCACGTTATACAGTAAATCAAAGTATATACTGTAGATGTCTGAGTTGTGGAGACTTATGTCTGAGGAAGGTCACGATTGTACCGACTGTTTACCAACATGCTCGTCTCTAACAATTTTTTATGAGACTCCTAATCAGTCCATCCCTGATCTCAGTTGATGAAGAAAGCACAACATTGGAGGCAAAGCAGAACACTGGCTGATACTGACCGACAAACAATTTAAATATTCAGAAGGCAAAAACATCGACCTACAAGCCTTTTTTCACCCAAACTGAGCTCGCAGGGCTGTAAAAACAACTATACTTTAACCTTTTTTTTACGCGGTGATAATTCCTGAACTTTGTACCTCGCAACGTAGATTCCATTTTTGTTTTCAAAGTTCATCTGTAAGAATATTCATTTCAACGAATACTGGAACTGTAAATTACAGAGCAAAGATCTGCGTGTGGGTGTTTCAGTGCGCGTCTGAGGGCATCTTCATCGAGGTATACAAAACTTAACTCTAAAATGGTTTAATAATTTGGTCAAAAACAACGTGGCGAACAAAGTGTAGCAGCGAGCATCGTGGTGATGATGACGTGTGACCAAGACGGCCGTTACCTTGTAGTGGTGGGAGCCATCACCTGCCTGGTGCTCCTGCCCTCATTGCACTTGCTCCTTACCCCCCATCACCCCAACCTCTATCACGTCAATACATTCATCATCCACATCCACCTCACAACCACACTTACACCACATCCACACAAACTCCACCAATCCCAGATATACACCACATAGTTTATACTGTACATCCCCACCAAGCAAATCTTGAAGTGCTGCTGCCACAAAATTAGTTTAAAATATTTTTGAGTGAGAGGGTATCCCACTAGCTGGTAATGTTAACCTACATGTCTCATCTGAAGAGTTCCCCCTCCCTCCCCCGCTTCTGTCGTCTGGGTTAGATTAGGTTGGGGTAGATTAAGTTAGAGTAGGTTAGATTAAGTTAATTTTAGGGTGTTTAATCTTATGGTGAAGTAACCTGGAGCTAATCTTCATATGATCCGCCTACGTTAACTTGGCTTGGTAAGTTGACTGCGGCTCACATTAAAGGGACTTCTTGTTAAGGAAATCTGAAGGGTAAAGTTTACTCAACAAATAAACATTTGGAGGACAGCGTTCAGGCTTATATCTTCGGAAAACTGTCTTCCAGACTTATTGTAAAAAAAAAATATAAATTTTTCAGGTTAGTTTGTCAGGAAAAAACTACATGACACATATTAAAGAAGGCATTGACCATCAGGAATCATTGTTAAGGAAATATTACACTGTCACCCATCATTATACTCTTGTCAGATGTGTTCGTCACACTACGGGGATCACCTGAACATTAGGCACTTCAGCTCATTTCGCTTGACATTTAAACATCCTAACGCAATGTGGGGGAGTTAGGTTTGGTTATGGTTAGGTCAGGTTAAGGGAGGTTAAGTTATTTAAGTTAGTGTTTGGATTGTTAATCTTTAGGTGAAATAAGCTGGAGTGCCTAATCCAGTAACCTACTCTTAGGTACTTCTTTTATAATGGCCAAACTCCTGAGTCATGCACCTTGCTCTTCCTCAACCTGCCAATCAGAATGTGCCCGAAAAGTCAAGAAACAATGAAGAAATCATATAAATTTTACAAACAATGAATGATGAAGAAATGCTAAACTTTTAATAAATTTCCCTTACTTATATTCTATTTATGTGACTAAAGCGTTCGACCTAGTCGACCACAATATAATCATCAACAAAGCTATTGACCTCGGGCTTCGGAGAAGTCTTATACCATGGCTTACACACTTCCTCAGTGACCGACGCCAAGCTGTACGCTTCCGAGGGGCTGTCTCCACCTTTCAGTCACTCACCTGTGGCGTCCCCCAAGGCACCAAGATGGGACCACTCTGCTTCCTTATGCTCATCAATGATGCCCTAAGAGAAACCCCTGCTCGCTGGAAATATGTCGACGACTTCACCATTGGGATCAGCGTCAACAATTCTGCTCCCAACTATACCGCCCTTCAGGATTTATTGAACAGTCTCCAAAACTGGGCCACCAACAACCATGTCACCATCAACCATACCAAGACCATGGTTATGCACATCAACCTCTCCTCCGACATTGTCCCACCTCCTTCCATTACCTAGGTCCGAACACACTCCAGGTTGTAGATTCCACGAAGCTCCTCGGCGTCACCATAGACAACAAACTAAATTGGAAACCACACGTCAGTGAAGTTATCAAATCCTCCAGTTTCCGTCTCCACCTCCTCCGCCAACTCAAGTCCCTCGGAGTTCCTGCACACGAGCTCCTCAGTGTTTACACAACATTCATACTTCCCAAGCTCACCTATGCCTCCCCCACCTGGTCTTCCTCCCTAAATGCCACACAACGTAAACACCTAGAGAAAGTGCAAAAGAGGGCATGCAAGATTATTCTCTCCCCTTCCTACTCCACATATCAAGAAGCGCTCAACACACTGACCCTTTCGACTCTCTGACCATCACCACGACCTCATCTGCAAATTTGGTAAGAAGCTTCTACACCATCCCCGACACCGGCTCTACTACCACCTGAGATCCCTAGTCCGGAGAATTGCTGTTCGACACCACAACCGCATCCAGCCCATACGTGCACGAACTGATCGCTATAAGAACAGCCCAGTCCCAACCATTGTAAAAATTATCAATAACTTGTAATAAATCAGTGTATTCACTCCCAGTAAACACTACTCCTTGCTCTGTCACTATGTTGAAATGAACTGTAGTTTGAGCTTTTCCCCATCTAGTTATTATATGTCTTATTTGTGTCACTTATGTTACTTGTATATTATTTGTAATTCGTTACCCATTCCCCAAATATGTAACTGTATATTTTCAGCCTTCTGGCTGCCAAGCTCTTTCAATAAACCGTTAATTATTATTATTATTATTATTATTATTATTATTATATTCTCTCTCTCTCATTTCCATTTTTCTTCCAATTCTAAATTAAAAAATCCTTTACCAAGCCGACGAAATGCTCTCACTACAAAGTTACATTTATTTATTTCCTTTTTGTCTCTGGTTGTTTCTTTCTGGGTTTTCCCAACCCCAGGGTCACGTGGTGCGCAGGTGAACTATTCGTGGTTCACGACCGCATTCTCCGGATACCTGGGGAGCGGCACGGCGAGGGAGGCTGGGAGTACCTCGACTGTCTTACCGGCACCGTTTAATGGTAGCTGGCCACTTACAGACACACCTAATCCCCCAGTGGGAGACAGCAGGGGGGAACTTAAATACTTCATAAAAAAAATCTGTAAAAACCAACCAAACGTATCAACCAGCATCCATGTTTACATTATTACAATGCAAACATAAGTCCACGTCCACTTTCTGCAACAGCGATGTTAAACCCTTCATAAATTCGCCTTTTTAATAGTAAGCTAAATTAACTTTGCTGTAACAACGCTATACCTCCGGGCTACTGCCTTTTATTTTATAATATAACAAAATGGAAATTCTAAATTGCCAGGCTTCAAGGCCCGTGTAAAAGACGCTGTGCGATCACCACGAAGGCCTCGCCAATACCAGAGTGGTGGTTACCTGACAGGCTCCCTCGCCCTTCCCCTGCCCATTCTTTTATTTATATTTAGCCGTCGTCTGAACGCAGCGAGGTAAGTGTAAAAGTGTACGATAAAACCAAATTTTCTGTCTGGAGAAGTACTGTACGTTAGAGTAACATCTGGAGACAATTTAGGGGGAATTTGGACACGTTTTTTTGCTTTCATTTATTTATATTTTCCTGTATTTTGTAATTGTCTTTTATTTCTTTCGCTTCCTTAGTTTCCCATTTCTTATCTTAATATCTTTTCATTTCTTCCTTGCGGGGGGGGAGGGGGGGGTGGCTGCCTCCCCTCAATCTAGCCAACACTAGTAAGTTATTTGACTTGTGTCGGCAGCTTTCGGGCTTGTGGGAGACCTAGTCGAGGTGACTTGACCAACAATGGAGCAGGTTCCGATATATTCAGGAGCCAGTGCATGCTCAGTAGTTCCCAACAGTGTATAACAGAGACGTGACCGATCGCCAAGCGGCTAACGAGTCGATCAGTGGCGAAAAGAATAGAAGTAAATACTGACGACTCGATCCCTGAGCCTAATATATTCTCCCTGAATAAATGTAACAGACTGTGATAATATATAACTATTTTTAGAATTAACAGAAAAAAGGTCTAAGTATTTACTCTGAGCATTAGCACTCTGAAACAAACGCAAACATAGATTACTTGTTATTTCTAGTGAAACTAACAGGAAGTAATATGTGCAATCAACAGAATAGAAGTGAAGTTAGCAGTGCAG